CCACAATTTGGTGACCCATCCGTCCTCCTAAATCCAGCTCAACAACACAGACTGATTCATGCACCTGCAAACGATTAATCAACGCCTGCTTTCCTTGCTTGCTGAGAGACACTGACTCGAAAATGATTTGGCTCACTGAAGTAGCCGCCCCTCCAACATGAAGAAAAGACTCTTCAAGAACAAGCTAGCTGTCTGACTTAACTACACACACTTGGTAAAGTGCTCTGGTTGCTGCAAGCATTCAATCGTTTTGACTAGTCGAGCTTTACTTAACACATTCAAAACGTACGTGGATCATGCGAAAGCCGATCGGAACTGTGTCTACACTCTCATGCATGCAAGTCGCCCTGTAAGCCTTCGAGTCCTGCGCATCCTACGACCTCCTGCATTCCCACAGGGACACACTTTACAAACACTCCAAACCTCAAAGTTGCCTCAACCCAGAACACGGAATTCCTCTGCCTTGCCTCCACGACGCTTCAATGCAGCTTGGGCAACGATTACGAGATTTTTCTCAAATGAGCCTTGGCCTTGGAACTCCCTGTCCTGCCTGAACCACGTAGAGCTCGCGAGGCTCACCCTCAAAAGTCCTGGCAAGGAGGGATTGGGGCACAGGATCAGGCCCTCGTGGCAGAACTCACAGCCTTTGAAAGGAGCTACGACAAATCTCCTAGGCGACAGGGGTTCGATGCAAGCTAGGAGCAGGGGCAGCCAGGTGCGGGATTTGAATAAGTGCTGCTTTGGGAGTAGAGGGCTTTGCAAGCAGGTGCTTACAAACCTCTCACGCCCGGAAGAGGTGGGGCATGAAATAAAAGTTGAACAGCAGCATACCCAAACACTACTGAGCCCTCAGGCTACAACTACTGTAGCACAGCCAGAACTATCACAATTTGCGTTCACCCCAAGGCTTCTCATCACGGCAAGCCACGTGGATTCGCCCGGGCGGAGCTCGCGGATTTCCGCCGGCTGCCCGCTGGTGCCTCGGGTTTTTTTGGGGGCTGATGTTTGGGGCCTAAAGTTAACGAGGTGCGGCTTATGAAGGGGCTTGAGAAATCAGATCAAGGCTGACGGGCAAAAGGCTTGAAGGCATGGTGTAGAGATGTACAGATGTAGATGTACGTGACGCATATGCATGGGCACATGCCATCGGTATGACATGAATGACTCATGTGCCTGCGCGATGTGCACTTGCACATCTGTTTGTCTGTAACTGACTTGTGAGAGCAGCGGAACCAGCAAAATGCAGAACGAGAAACACAACAAGTACACGCCAATTTGCGGTCTTTAGGGCGAGGCATAATGAGAGTAGGTGGCGACATACCAGCTGGTCTAGCGTCAACCAGCACGACCAGCTCCAGGACCCAACTCTCAACAGGGTGGATCATCATCATCAGCAGCAGCATCATAATCATCATTATTATTACCGCAATCATCATCCTCAACAACATCACTACAGCAGGTTCCGCAAGACAACCGGACGAACAAACACGAAAAACTCCAAGTACAAGATTGACAAAAATTACAGACCCAAACAGAAGTTCCAGAAAACATACACCAAGCGAGGAATTCAATATGAGACCCATGACATACCCAGTACAACAGGAATGCCAACAACTCCCAGAAGCCGACACCATGGGAAAACCGCAAATACAGCAACCTAGCGCACATACGGAAGCCCGTACAACTAATGAATGGGTATCGTATTCAGGTGTATTGCCTTGCACACATAAGCTTCCTGCAAGCCCTTCGAAAACCGGTATTCGCAATGCTGTGCAGTGCATTACTACGAGTATCATTGTCTGTACAGTAGTAAATTTCAATTATGTGTATATGAAGTCGTGGAACGGAATGGGATGGTGATGCGTGGGTTGTCGAATAATTCTTCAACGTTGAGTTCGGGACCCGCCGCGAGGATCTTTGTCCGCACCTCTCTTTTGGCTAAGATAGCGGTGCCCAGAACACTCCGTCCATTCCTAAGGGCTCTGACAAGGCTTTAAGGTGTCTGGGGCTTGTGGTTTAGGGGCCTGGGGCTGACTGCATGGTCCTCTCATCGTCTTATCTTCGGAAGCCAGAAAGCCTCCAACAACATTGCCTCCATATCTACCAACAAGGTTTAGGATCTGCTTACCTCAGATCGTGCCACACAGCAAATATGTAGAGCGATGAAGATAAGGCGTGAAGTGTGTCATAATCGATACGCTTTCGGACAATGTTCACAGCTTCCGACAACATGCAGAGAACAGACTGCTTCAGGGTGACTGGCGAGGTTGTAGTGCTGAGCGAGGGAGAAGGCAGAGAAAGAGAGGAGGGAGAGAGGCTGAAAGAAGGCGAGAGGAAGAAAGAGGGAGAGAGATCGAGAGAGGTACACGGACACGATGTCAATCAACAGAGACAGAACAGAGAGAGAGGCTAGGAGGGTAGAGGGGAGGGGAGGCAGAAAGCAAACAACTCGCACGCCGACAAAGAGGATGCAGACGGGGCGTGCAGTCGCCAGGCCATCATGGCCAAGGTTCAGGACCGAAAATAGAGGGTACCTTATTTGGGGGCCTTAGAGTCAGGATCCTACTATTTAGGGTACTATATTAGGGTCCCCTAATTTTCGGAAAGCCCCAAATAACACAGGCCTGACATAGGAGTATATAGGTGGCTCCGGCCTGCCAATCTGCATCTTTGGACACACCAATGCTTGCAGATGGCAGCATCGCTAACCTGACACAGGGTCCCCCCGGCTTCGTGATGCAGGGCTGCCAGCTTCAACCCCGGAGCCCAATGAAAATCAAATTCCGCACACCAGAGGGAGTCAAGGTGATCCCGCACTTTCTAAAGTTTGAGTGGTGTGCACGAGCAGACTCCCAAGGTCAATGCTCCAGATTCTCATGATGCTAGCATCCGCTGCTTCTCCGGAGTTCAGGGAAAACCGGCCGCCTAGAAATCGATGCCCCGCCGTAGTGGAGCTCCATGGGGGTCGCATTCCTTGCAGGAGACCGGTCCGGTTCGCGCCGACTTCGGTCGATGGGGCAACATGGGGGCCTGAATACATAGAATAGGAGTCTTTCTGGGGGTGATGAAATTTTCCTGTGTAGGGATTACGTCCATGTACTAGGGGGAATATGCTTACCAGCATCTGTGCTTCCGATGGTACTTCGAGTTTGCGTCTGGCTGTACCTTAAATACGCCGCCGAGAACAAATTTACCCTAGGATGGTGTCACGCGAAGCCGATCGCTCAGTAGTCAGACTGAACCCTAAACCCTAAACC